CCAACAAAAGCGAGACTCTGTCTCAAAAAAAAAAAAAGCTTCAGAGAAATAGAAAGTAGAAAAATATTCAACGACACTGCATTTGTTTCATTAAGTGCTGGGCAGCCAGATACATTGCTATATTAAAGCTTAATATATATGTAAAAGTCCTTTATCACCAAATAACACAAATAAAACAATGGAGCTGGTTAAAATTCAAATTCTTCCAGCTGCCTTCCATTACCCTGCTGTGCCTACCCCATCAGCAGCTTGGGTACCACCCTCCAGGTACCCTGCAATGCACAAACACACACAGATTTTCAACATTAATGGAATTGTACTAAACACATTCTGCTCCATGTCTTGCCTTTTATTCAATATATATCAAGGATACTTTTCAATTGAGAAAATGTGAGAATATTTCACAGCAGGAGCAAACCCTATTCTATAGTACATTCTCAGGAGTCAAGGTTACCTATACCCTCCAAACAGAAGCTTTATACACCACTGATTAACTTTACCAACTAAGTCAACACTTTTAATGCTCATTTTTCATTAATCTCTTCCAACTCTATATTTATGATTCTTTCTCAACATTGTAGAACTTAACCTTTTAGATCTTTAAACCCTTAACACTGTACTAATAGGTTTTCCCACAGAATATGTAATTATGAAATCTTTCATCCACTTTTTTCTCATCTCTTTCTACAATTTATGTCGTGAAATCCAGATAAGGTCACAATAGGAAACAACTCCTCTCTCTGCAGGAAGGTAAACTTTTTGTGCTTTGTTCCCTACTGCAGTGTAGCCATCAGTGCTACAAGCACAAATTATCTAGCACTGCAGAGCCCTTAGCTATGCAGTGATTCAGCATCTACCAATCTAGTGCTTCTTTTTTGAGCGATGCTCAGATTCTAAAGTATTCAAGCTCTAAGCTCGTTATATCTGAACGCTGGATTAAATATAACTGGTCAAATAGGAATAATTAATCTAATTTGCTCTTCAGTGAAACTACCTGCAGAGCTGGGAGCTAAATCTGTCGCCTTCTGATGCTGGCTGCATTTTGACTATGGTTTTAGGTAAATAGAAGATGTGGACTATCTCCAGAGGGAGAATGCAAAAACTGTCAGCCTATGCAGATACCCCTCTGGCCACTCATTCTTCATGCTCTGGCTCTCCCACTGTATTTTACCCAGTGGCAGCCATAGTTTCCAGCATCCCTGATAAACACAAGGAAGCTCTCTCCGGACACTTTCATAATGCTAGAAGGTCTCTTTAGTTGTCTTTTGTTTTTAATTTTTTTTTTTTGAGACAGATCTTACTCTGTTGCCGGGCTAGGATGCCGTGGCGTCAGCCTAGCTCATAGCAACCCTGAACTCCCGGGCTCAAGTGATCCTCCTGCCTCAGCCTCCCGAGTAGCTGGGACTACAGGCATGCACCACCATGCCTGGCTAATTTTTTCTATTTTGTAAGACGGGTCTCGCTCTTGTTCAGGCTGTCTTGAACTTCCTGAGATGAAACATTTTGATAAGCCTGCCAATCATAATATTCTGTGACTTTTGGGCAAGTTACTAAATTTATGAAAGCCTGTTTTCTCCTGTATTAAATATCTCTGTGATTTGGGAATGATAGTGAAAGGTGAAAAAAAGAAGAAAAAATAAATAAGAAAGAGAATGAATTTTTTCTATAATTAAAAATATATATATCTCCACGGGATTATAAAAATACTAGTAAAATACTTAATAAGCAAGAAAAAAAATTAGATGTTACAAATCTATGAAATTCCTTTATTCCACTGCTATGAAAAATGCC